AATCATGAACTTCAGTTGAGTAATATTATATTTCGTAATTATGTCACAAGGCGGTGGTAAAAAAAAAATTAAAATTGTTGTTATTTCAACGAAAGTATAACTTCAAAACTTGATTTCAATGTGGAGATATTTAACTTTAAATACCTTCACATGATTTAATATTTTTGCAACTATTTATAGTGCAACGGTATTATTTAAAATTAAAATACTATCCTCTCTGAATCTTTACGTTAAGGATCTAATTTTTGTTTTAAAGAAAACAGTATAAAAAAATAACGAATGCATCCATATAGGTGTTTAATAGTTTACACAAGCTTTAAAATCTGTATATATAGAGTCATAGATCATCTTCGCACGGGCGTTCTCGCGTCATTTTGACAATGACAGGTGTCACTAGGGATGCGCGCGCGCACGTCGTTGAGCCGAGACACGTCGATAGATCATGTGATAGTGCGGTGGTGTAGGTGGTCTCGAATAACGCGTTAGAACAAAAGCGCGGTTATCTAACCGATCGAGTTTTTATCGATAGCCCTGTTAATTAAATTGAATGTAAAATGAACCACATAACGGAAGATAGGTTAATGATAGACATATTTTTTATGTAGATTTTAGTGTATCTACCCAAGTGGAAACAAATTTGAGGTGAAAAATATGTTAATATTTACTTAATTACTATTTGAAAAAACTTGAAACTTAGAAGATTATAATGATAAAAAATAGTGTTACAATGCGGGTAACTATCGAAAATACAATTGTAATGGAATGTAGAGGCGCGATCAAAGAAAGTCCCCCATCACGGTTGCGCAGCGTTCACTTTTCCGACCATTCAGCATCAAAACCGATACAGACATCCGGACAAAGGCCATTACATTCCTTCAGAGGGGTTGTCAACCCTCAGGATTAGAATTACTATTACCTACATTGGTATTATCTATAAACATTTTAACGTACACGCTTAACCCGCGGAGACCCAGGTTTGAATCCCGGGTGAAAAGCGGTTGGGGTGCGGTCGAGGGGTTTTTTGCAATTCCCTTGGGATGTTTCGAGATTGGCGAACTGTAGCAGTCGATTATCGCTTTTAAGATCCTGAGATTTTCTGATTAAATATTAAAAGGTGTATTTTTATTTGATACAAATAGTTTATATATTTCTAATGTATTTGCTTGTTAATTTTGTTTTTTAAATATTGACGACACGTTTGGCTCAGTTTGTAGTTACTTTACTTGCTTTGCCAGCGGTCGCGGGTTCGAGTCCCGCTGGGGCATTCATTTGTGTGATGAGCACGAATATTTGTACTCCAGTCATGGATGTTTATATTTTTACAATATAGAGTCTAAATTGTAAAGTTTTTATTAAATCATAGAGTGAATAAATAATATAACACAACGTATAATTGATAATTAACATTTGAAAGTTATTTTGAAATAACAAAAGAATCAAGTAATTGACGTCACGCAAATTAAACACTATTATGCGACAAACATACAGTTATTACAAAACCTTGATTTAATTTTATTTGTAGACCGTGAATATGCGTTATTGTATATCTTTGAAAAATAATTTGATTGGTATAATATAAAATTACGTGTCAATTTTATTATTTTGTAATATGTATTTAACTGACTTTGAAATAGGAGGAGGTGTACAAAAATTCAGGTCTGTAACAATTGTGAACCGGTATTTTAATCTTAATTTTTTTGATCTATCGGCTTACTTCAATAGGGAAATATAATTTTAAGCCCATAAAAATACCTATATAATAAAAAAAATATACTCTATGGTTTCTGTGTCCCATTTAAATTTCCGGAATAACACGGAGTATGAAAGTGGTAGGAAATTACAAAAATTGCAAATCAATAATCTCACATTAGATATTAAATGAAAAGCCCGTAAATGATCTAAGCATGAATATCAAAAGACGTTCATCTTGAAAAGTTACATCTTAATTACGATGTAATTCGAGAGATCCAGTTACATGCGTGTAAACGAAAACGTATTCCGTGCGGCTACATAATACGTGTCACGAAGCCCCCTAAATGCGCCGCAGTAGCATTTTGGCGGTGTCACGTTACTACTCGATCAAGCAAGCCACAAATTAATTATAAATTATGGTATAACTTCTTCGTTTTATGCTGACTGTACTATGTAGTTTTAGTAAAGAATCTAGACCAATGAATATCTAGGTAATTGAATTTAGATTTTCTGTAGCTCTAAATAGAGCACGCCAATTTGATCAAAGAAAGCTTTTAGAATTTTTGTCTTAAATTTTAAACCTATTTGTGTATGAAGGAATATTTTTAACGATACAATACTCTTTTATTTAAGCAATTTTGGGGGAATAAAGTAAAATTTAAATGATATTTCTTTGAATGGTATTTCAAAATAAGTCATTTGTTTTAAATACCTATGATTCTATTGAAAAGTTTAAAATATTTTATATGATACTTTACATACCTTACTAAAAAGCATTATAACATGATAATAAGTTTTTTACATTTCTTATATATATATTAAATAAATAAATAAATTATATAGAGAACAGGATCAGAAAATTTCCACATTTTTATACATTTCGTCTTGAGTATCAATTCCTATGACATCATAGCTGGTGAGTAGAGAGGGATAGATGAGCCAGATGTATGGAATTACGGGAAAAGTGAGCGGGACGACGCACATTTGTGCATCCATGCGTAAAACGCGGCATTATAGTACACGCTGATGGAAAGAATAACGCCGTAAGTAACAACAGTACAGAGCAACAGTAAAGCTTACTATTAGCAGTTGCTTTTATGTATACGCATATTACCATCTGCTTTTTATAAATATATATACAAGTAATATGTATGTACATTTCAATATCATACTATTAAAATATATCGTTAATTAGTTATATTTCTTGAAATGGTTAAGGCTTTAAATTCAAAATATATATTTATTCACGCTTAAAAAATGCATCCTTGGAAACTGATCCATAAATGCCAGATAGAAAACTGGTAAATCCTTAAATCGGCACTTACGCTGTTGTTACTCGGAATCGGCATCGATTGTTCGTATTTTTGTCTACGGCAAGAAACATCACGCCCATTCGACCGTTATGACTCGACTCGCAACTCAGAACAAATACGTATCTCCCTCTAACACACGTGCTGTGGTATTTTCCCTCTTGCCCACTGAGCCGAATGCGTGCGACACTCATAAAAATAGCCCCTTCAATCTTCTAGGTAAGGGATGAAGTACGATTCCAATTTGCCCTCTCGTTATGGATATAGGTGTTTAGAGGTGTTTGTGTTGACTTGCTAGATTAGGTATGTAGGATGACTTGTGATTTCGTTTGAAACGCGGTTTGTTTGGTTTTGGAAATAGTTTTATTCTGATGATATTGTCTATATTTGGTTAAATCAGACTTTCATTTTATAAGCTATCCAAATTTAAAATTTCAAGAAAATTGTTTTCAAATAGGTTTATGCCATCTTTTTAATAAACGTCTAGCGTTTATATCAAATTAATTTTATTCATTCTATTACATTTTATCAATAACTTTTCAACGTTTCTTAAGATACTCTACAGACTTTTTGCAATTATACAAAAACTCGCCCGCGGCTTTGTCACGGCATGTTTACACTATATCACAAAAGATTCCATTTTGACATGATTAACAGAAAAATTGGCTCGATCTATGGAAAAAAATAACAATATTTGCTTTTGAATTTTTTTTTGTTGCAGCAGATGTCGCATACGTCGGGCTCGATTACCGATCGTGTCACTTAAAATTGCTTTGTTTGAGATTATAGGATTCAAAATTGAACTGCGGTTTTGTTTTATTTAAGCGAGTGTTAGTTTTTTGTATAAATGTTTTACTTTTATATAAAAATTCGTGATGGAAAATAAATTTACATTAAGCGCCAGATAATGATTCATAAAAAGTAAGTAAAGTTAGTCAAGTAAGCTATTGCTAAGTCTTACTTAACTACAGAGTAAAGTAACATAATACATCTTAAAAATATGACTTGGTTAACTTAAAAGTCTGTAAATAAAACATAAAGAATTTATGATCTTCATTCTAGTCAATAGTGACCGATTTGTATCGACAATGTACACAAAGCGATCCAAACGAAAATTTTTATAAACTGTCGTCAATAGTTCGCAGAATGAAGTTTATTACTTGAATGGTGCTTCAAAAGGAGCTTGGACAATGGCCGGGCTTATAACATATGCTCGAAAACTAGTTAAATTTCAAAATTGGATTAGAATTCTGTTGTTATACTGTCTAGTTTACTATCACAATACGTTTGAATTTAATGAAATCTGTATTTTGAATATATTTTGACATAGCCAATTGTCCATTTAAATACGCACTACAATTGTATTTAAGCTGTGGGTCAGCACAGATGCTTGGTTTTTCAAATAACAATATAGAGAAATCGATTCTTCTTCAAAGATTATGATGGCAATATGTTATATTTTAATTGAAACTAAGCCAAACTTTTGCAACGGATGATATAAAATTGATAAGTTTACATAAGTCATTGATAATTTAATTTATGTAGATAATTGGAAAGCTAAAATAATTTTAAAATGAGGCAAGGATTTAAAATCAATTGTGAATAAATATACAAAGCATGTTTGTGATTCGATCTCCCTAGGTACGAGTACTAGACGATTTTTCATATAGGTTTTTATTACTTGAATTCAGCCCTTTTTAACGTCCCACTGTAAAGGGTGGCCAAGTGCGGGTTGGCGGACTTCACACGTCTTTCGAAAACCAGCAGGTTCTCTCAGACATGCAGATTTCCTCACGATGCTTTCCTTCACCGTAAGGCAAGTGTTAAACATGTTGGAAATGATTCGCACATGAAAATGTCAGAGGTGCGAGACCCGGGATTTGAACCCGCTTCACTCGGTTTCCCAAGCGAGCGCGACTTATTGCTTACTTTTTGGGTAGGTACCTACTATAGGATTTTTCGTAAAGGTTTATTGTTTAAGTAATGCTTTATACTTACACTGGGTATATTATCGTTATTGCACACGTTCTCGCTCAGCAGACGATCTCTGATCTCCCACGCGAAGATCGAAGGGCACTCTCGTTTGTAGTCGGCTATCTTCTGCACTACGGGAGTGGTGGCCACCCGCGGCTTTGAGCCTCCGATAGCGCGGGGTTTTATCGACCCCGTCTCATAGTACCTGCGAACAAAGTTGACGCTAAACGAATCGGCTTTGACATGAAAAAATTTTTTTGATTGATTTGCCCCTGAAAATTTTTATTTAGGTAAGTGTCAAAATTAATGACGAATATTTGGTTTTTCATTTTGCCCCACTATTTCAGTACAATATTAAAAATTTAAAACCTGGAAAAAGATACTTTTTATATCTCTGATATATCATAAGAAGCAAGTGTTTATATTATATTATCAATTAATATTATTATACTTTTATAATATTCATCAAAAACTAATTTTCTAGTTCGAGTTTTAAGAAACCATAATGTTATAGTGGCCATCTATACTAATATTATACAAACGTAAAGTTTGTGAGTTTGTGAGGTTGTAGGGGGTAATCTCTGGATCTACTGAACCGATTTACATGAAATTTGGTAAGAAGATAATTTGAGACCCTGGGAAGGACATAGGAATATTATATACATTTTATCCCGGATATCGTCCCTTAAGGAGGTGAAAATAGGGTATAGGAAAGCTTGTAATGAGAATTAAACCAGGGACGAACCCGAGCGAACCGAGGGTGAGTTACTAGTATAAATTAAATTAAGGGTTTTTTGCAGATCCTCCAATAAAAAAAACAATACATAAATATGATTAATTATAATTATTACAGATTACATAAGTATGTATGTACAATAATATATTTATATAGTAAATAATAAGTAATTGTAAGTAGGTACAAAAATATATTTATATAGTACCATAGAATAATTTAAAATTCTTTTATTAAGGAAAATGTAAAATTAAACTTTAAACGTTATCTATACATATAGTAAAACAGTAACTTAGCGAAATCGATGTGCGCATTGCACATAAAAATACTTAATCAATTTTAACTAAATTTTGTATGGTGATAACTTATTCCTCGGGTCAATATTTAGGATACCTTTTACTACAGAAAAATCTTTCATTCCCGCGGGAAAACATAATAAATAACGCTTTCTACCGAATCGTTCTTAGACATGTCTAACGCTGGCTAAACCTTATGAGTTACAAAAAACAATGCACTAGAAAAAGAAAAATCTGCAATGGTACAAGTCTTTCTCCTAAGGTACACTCGCAATAATTATTTAAAACGTACCTTGGGACGCACACGAGAAAGCGAGGGTAAATAACTAGTATCTAATAAAAAATCCACCATGGGTATAAAAAAACTGTATAGTTTGTAACGTACAAAATATCCTCACATCCCTTCATAATAAGTACTTAAAATCATCTCAATTCTTAGAATAAATAGTACCTACGTATGTTGCGTTTACTATTGAAAACATTAAGCCTTCGACCCACTCGAACGGCATTAGCTCACAATTACGAATATAATCTCTTCAGCTATCCCCTTATTTCGAGTGTCTATACAAACATATTTAACTAATTTATTATACACATCAAAAATAAAAATTATACAAAAATAGCTCTTATTTTTATTAACTTAGAATACATTGTACGTTTCGAGAAGTGCAGTAATATTCTGGTTTCGATATAGGATGTACTGGCGGCATTGTTGCACGCGACATGTGTCGATATTTGCAGTGAAATGTCGATGGGGACGATACGATTGTCGAATTTCTGGATACAGTTTGATATTTAAGAATGTTCGCGTTTTATTGGACGGGGTTGAAGGATTTATTGACGTTAAGGGCGATAAAGAAACGTTTAAGTTTTAAGAGAAAATAGAAACATATAAATATAAAGGCACTCCTAAGCGTTTTGTTAAAAGTAAAAATTCTTTACGCATAACTATATTATGTAGGTATTAAGTTATTTTTTTAAATATGAATATTTTTAAAGTAACTTAATTTAATAAATGTACTGTAAACAAAAGGAGATTAAACGTCTTTTAAACTACGTAATTGAACGTACAACTCGTAGATAATATAAAGTAGACGCCATACTAGAGACTCCTCTATATGTTAAACACTATCAGGCTATATAACCAATAGAGCAAACCAAAGAAAGACATACAAACATACTCAAAAACATAACTTTTTTCTGAAGCAGTCGGTTAAAATTCGTTACATGACATGTACAACAAACGATATTGATCCCTAAATAAACTATCAAACGTTGTCATCTAGATATGTACATGTTTACTTTATTGTGCACTGCCATTAGACGGTTATTATCATCACGCCGCAAGCTAATCGCAATCGTTTTTGCCCCTGGCTACAAATACACGCGCCGTAATAGAGTTTTTGATTTATTTTTTGAACTATATAAATACCGTGGAATTGAATTGGCTTTATACAAATTGTACTCTCCATATTATAGAAAGTTTTTACAAAATAAATATAAAAATTATGAAAATACCTAAAATTTAAACAAACCTGTAAATGCCCATTTTATTATTTTGCGTCGCGGTTTTTGCTGTTGCACGAGCATTAACTGAAAATTTTTGACAAAAAAAATGAATCTCAATTTTTTTAAAGTTTTTATAATTTATTTTGTTTTGTAGTTTAAATTAATTCCTTTTCACTGGCTTCCACCTTTTCGGGAAATCTCCACTCTATTCAATATAATATAACGTTAAAGTAGATAGTAAGTTACATTTTAAATTATTAAAAACTTTTTTTCATACATCATTAGATATTAATTTGCCATGGAATATTAATGGGTAGATATAAATTAAGGAACGCGACTTTAAGTAAAATGTCAACTAAATAAAGAACATCAAAATTAATCTTGAATGAACCGGGTTATACTTTAATATATTTCTAAATATACTCGTAGAGTCCTTATAATAGAATTTTAGGTTATAGCGGCAAATCTTATAGACACAATAATCAGGAGTATGTCTGTACATTTTATACCTATATGTAAGCATTAATAAAATAAATATTAATAGCTATATAAAATTTCCGCGTCACGATGTGTGCCGCGATGAAGTCTGTTACTACTTATCCGATCTTAACGTATTTTGTAAATGTGTGATATGTTACAACTTCAAAGATAGGATAGGTTTTATCCCGATTGTTTCCTTTTTTTTGCAAAATTAACGATTTTCATATGTGTGCCACAATATATCGCTAAATAGCAATGCGGATGTGAAAAAAATCGCTTAGATTTATATGAATAGCAAGTTTTAATAGAGCCATCTAGATATAATTGTTCCATTCCTCATTTAATGTATAAATTTTTTTTACTAAAAACGAATCATCGTATCAAAATGTCGTTAAGCCGCTAGGGGTCGAATTTGATCAGTTAAGATCTCCGCGGGATCCAACTTTGCACTTATCTGATTTTTGATTTAGCTACTGTTTAAGTAAATAAATATGGTAAATACTGTATATAATATATACATATGTATTCAAACCTTTTTTCTTAACATCCCACTGCTGGGCACGGGCCTCCCTTCAATACGAGGGGGATCAGGCCACAGTCCACCACGCTGGGCAAGTGCGGGTTGGCGGACATATAATTCGTAGGAATATATAACATAAATTTTAAATACTAATAAAATACCAGTCCATATTAAATAATTAACTGCATTATTTTTCCAGACCTATTTTAGCCTTATTTTTATTATTTTTCTGAGTATATTTGCTATATTTTAATAATAATTTCTACTTACTGCATATTCCGTGATAATCTGGGACAAAAGAGAATATGTATCAGTCATTTCATTTAACCGACTTTCAAAAGGGATGTAACAATAATTTTATACTATATTTATTTATGCAGTAAAATTATTTACATCAAGTATTTTATTAATTAATATTTGTTAATCATTATAAAATTCATCCAAAAAAGCTTTCTTTAAAAAAAAGCAATCAGCTTGAATCGTTTATTTTATGTTTAGGTATAATTAAAGTTGTACATTTTTAACAGAATTTTTTGATGTTTGATGAAAGTATAGAAATAGCAGTAAAAATCAAAAATCAAGATGTGAACAACACAAGCTTCGCGGGAGGGCTCCTTAATTAGGAGTCCCGCCGCTTGCCCTTTACAAAGCCCTAAGGAACAACCCTTTACGTAATTGGCACGATAAGAATTTTAGGGGCGTGTGGGAAAAATGCACTTGCACTTGCAGTCGCGACTTAGTTATGCTTAGTCCAAACATAAAGTACTCATTGAATGTTTTGTTAATTACAAAGAAATTAGAAGGAAACCAAAATATGACACAAAATAAAGTAAGAATGTAAATTTACTTGACAAAGGTAAAGAATTTTTACTTTTTTGTATATTTAATAGTAGGTGTAATAGGAAATATTTTTAATAATAAAATATCTTACTAAATTAGAAAATATTTTATTACAATAAAGAAATAGCACGAAGCAATACCTAATTTACAGTATATTATTTTTGTTTTCATTTTTCCTCATTCATATATATGAGTAACCACTCCACGAGCAAAACATTACAAAACAATAACACGCACCCAGCGGCCAAAATCACTTTTCTACAAGATCTCTTGAAGTCAAGCGCCAGCAGGGGTGCCAATTACTGACAAATATTATTATTTTCCTCTTTATCGCGTTTATTTAGGGGCGGTCGTGGGACAGCCCTGAAAGGCACACCATACATTAAAAATAGTTCTTTTGATTGACGTCTTTTACATTTCTTTATTGTCCCAAATTGACTTTTGAATTGTTCACATCAATGCGTACAATAGAAATTAAAATATTGCATACGATTTCTATGAGAATGTAAAGCTTAATTGTATAATAACGTTAGTTATAAATGTTAATATTGTAGGTTAAGATTATAGAATATTATGTTATTAATAATTTAATATAATATCTTCAATATTAAGACAACCAAGAATTGATAATAAATCAAACTTTGCTCAAAATATTGTATAAACGAACACATTTGCCTAAAGCAAATAGCATCTGAAGTGGCATTTAAAATAACTCGCATATAGATTTAGTTTTAACGGCAATAGGATTGAGCGTTTCAATAAGCACTCGAGTGGAGGGCCGAAATCCTCGTGATAACCGATAAAATCGCAATCAAACGATAAACTCCCTTACGAAATTAGTCGACGCCCCGCCGTCAGCACCCGATGTCGATTCCCACCTAGCACCCGCGGCGCGTTCATTCACACAAAAACAATACACTATGGGAATGCAAACTTTTTGTATTGATTTAATCATTGAAATATTTCCTTAAATTCAGAGTGAGGCATTGTTAACGCCTTTGTGAGCTTCCTTAGGCGGTATTATGGGAACTCCGTCAATTTGCTCGCGTGGCTCAAGACTACGACCTATCGGACAACCGCCACAATCGATTCTTACGCCTTTGTTGGCCTACAATGGGTTTTGTGCTAAATAATTCATTTATTTGTGTAATAGTACTCGATTTAATTGTATTGTCGATTTCCTGATGGCTCAATACTGTTAGACTTATTTTAATAGTTAAGAAGTTAAGGAAAGCATTTGCGTTAATGGGATTATCGAACAATTAATATTTGTTAAAAGCTTTATTTCTAAAGTTTATATTTTTAGTTTATGATTTGAGTTTCATGTGAAATATGATAATTATGGAATTTTAATCTACCAACAAAAAATATATGACCGGTGAGATCTAAAAAGTTTGATCTTTTAATTATTAGTTTTTAAATGTTAATAAGAGACGAAAATACTAATAGGTTTGTGTTTAGGCTTCAGTTTATCCATAAATATAAACATTTGTGAGAGAAAGACAAATACTGACCTGCCAAGTATCTTGGACACGCAGCCGTTGGAGACCTGCAGGATCCTGCTGATGTCACAAGGCCGGGCGCCAGAGTGTGCGAGCTCTACAATCTTCTGCCTCGTAGAGTCGGGTAATGGCCTGCCGTTCACGTATACCCCTCCTAACTGATTGATCCCACTGTGGCCGGCAGAGGAGCACCCAAATAGGGCTCCGCCGCCCATTGCCGCGCTATGCATCAGCTCATCTATAACAACCGTAAATATAATGGAAATTGTTTATTATGAAAATATTAACAAAAAATCTAATATATGTAATGTTCTCCTGACCGATTCCAGCCACGGCGGCCAATCTCATTGAGATTAGCCAACTGCGCAGGAGATATTATAGTGCACAAGTGTACGCGCAGACACAACGTGCACTCTCTATTCCTGTCACTCTCATAGTTTGGTGGGACGACTACTCGACACGACCAGTGAGAGTTAAGGCGCAGGACCGACGGCTTTACGTGCTCTCCGAGGCACGGGGGTGAAACACCGCCAACTTCCCAACTCCGGGCTGTTACTGAGGTTTAATATACAGAAAGACTCAATCACTAAACTTGGCCCGACCCGGGACTCGAACCCAGGACCTCCGAGTGTGCAGCCGTACATGCTAGCCACTACACCACCGAGGCAGTTAATCTATATATATTATAGGTATATAAAAATAAAAAAAGGTTTAAGAGATAATGCACGTGTGTTTAGGACACGTGTAAAAAAACAATTATTAAACACTTTAAACCTCTATAAAAGAGTAATTTTAAACTGAAGTGCAAGCAAAGATTTCTTTTCAAACATATTGAGAGTCCGCAAAATTTTAACTACCTGTCAATTCAAACGAAAGGCGTCCTATGGAGCGTTAAAAAACTAACCCTTTTTAAAAAATAATCTGCTTTGCGAAAATAAAAAGTATGTCTATTCTGTATACAAAAGGGTTTGCGGCGTAAGAAAGAAAACCACAAATTATTATCTAATCCTCTAAGATAGGTAGATACTCCAGCATCTTTCATAATGAAAAACCGTTATTCAAAGCTTTTTTTTCAAGTTTTTTTTTAATTAATCGTTTTGGAGAAATAACAAGTTTGTTATTTTATTTTGCTATTATATGAAGTTGAAAGATTATGGAAAATTAATTCACTATAAACATTCAATCATCTACAGAAATAGTGCTTAAGTTAACTAAAACCGATACTTATTACTTATTAAGTGGAATCTGATACTTTTAAAAACTAATATTTAGCTCCTTAAAGCGATAAATTTTATAAAATTTCAAAATACCTTAAATATACAATATTTTATGAGATGTTGTAGAATAACTCTGAAAAAGAAATCTATCCTCAGAGAAAACGAAACCCGAAAAATATTTTCATAACATTTTATAATCACATTTTAGAATTATTTAAACAAAGGCCGCGTTATAATAGCTTGCTGAAATATGCGAGGCTGTGTAATGAAATAAGCAAAAAGTTCACCTTTACTAATGGTTCCTACATGCTCTTGGAACATGTACATTACGTAATTAAATAATTTAAAAAGTATATTACTTTATTGTATGGAGATGGATCATTTGTAGTGTTGCAAGTAAACGTGTCTATTTTCGCAAGATTTTCTGCCGAATTTCTAGGGAAAAATGTATATTATTTAATTTATATAGAAAGTTTACCCATTATTAAAATAAGTTTTTTTTTCTAAATTACCAATTTCCATCGTTTATAACTACTCTTCTCAAATATATTTTTAATTATATAAAGAAAATTCAGGCAGTGGTAGCCCAGTGGTAACGCGCTCGCTTGGGAAACCGAATGAAGTGAGTTCAAATCCCGGGTCTCGCACCTCTGATATTTTCATGTGCGAATCATTTCCAACATGATTACCACTTGTCTTAACGGTGAAGGAAAACATCGTGAGGAAACCTGCATGTCTGAGAGAACCTAGCAAGTTTTCAAAAGACATGTGAAGTCCGCCAACCCGCACTTGGCCAGCGTGGTGGACTATGGCCTGAGTCCCCTCGTGCTGAAGGGAGGCCCGTGCCCAGTAGTGGGACGTTAAAAAGGGCTGAATACAAACAAAATTCTATTTACATAATATATTTATTCTTGCTTAATGCAAAGTGGCGAAATTTACATGTTAGATAATGTGATTTAAAAAAAGATAGATATCAAGTCTAAACTTGTATTGATTTTGGCAATTTTAAAATATTCATTTGAAGTGCATTCTTTATATAAATTGCATTACTTGCAATTATAGATGGCCTCAACAGTTGTCTCGACTCAATTACAACCTTCCTCCACGCCAATAGTTTTCAATAGAACATTAGATCAAACTCGCCCGACCGTTAGTTCGGATAATTCCTTTTTTTCTCTTCTACCCCACCCCCTACAAACACGTTTCGCGGTAAAAAGTGAACAAATGGATGCAATTTGTGGGTGAATTTAGGGCAGGATCTGATTAAAGCCTGAAGGGGATGACGAAAAGTTCATTGTTTTGGCCCTTTTTTGCGGTCGCTCATAATTTTGGGCGCGTGATTCGAATGCCAATACTCGACAAAGCTTCATCTGGAAATAAGCTAGCTCAATAAATCATAACTTGTCAAAATACTAATTGAATTTACATGATTTTGTGAGCTGATGTAAATCGGTATTTCGTTCATTATAGTAGCCATCAACCTTAATTAACCGCTCTACATTACTGTTTTCGTAAATATATATACTAGATATACATATATCAAGATATCGTGATAATTTTTCAGCGCACGCAATTGAAATTAATTATAGCCACCGTTCACCAATTAAATGACGTATTTTCGCGACGAAACTCGTTATTAATAGCACCTCTTAGCTCTCGCCAGGCGTTACCAGTCGCTGGTCGTGCACTAACAAGCGAGCTGTTAAAAGAACAATGGACAATCGCTACGTACGCCCCACGCCCAGTGTGAAGGTGGCCTAAGGTAGGAGGAAACGCGGGTTGATTTGATAAGATGTTGCATTAATTGCGAATAGATAAATAAATATTAGGAAATTAGAGTGCAATGATTTGGAAAGTCATAAAAAAGATATGTAGAGCAAATAAAAAAACTTTACTTATATTTGAATAATCAAGTAGTTTTGTGAATTTATATAACTTCAAATTTTGTATACATAGAATAAGACATTTCAATACAAAATCAAGCAAAAATTTATAAATCACTAGCATTGCCCGCGGCTCTGGATTCTTAGGTTTTACATATTAGTATACTCTTACAATGCCTTTTTTGTATTTTTATTCAGAAATAAGATATTGCCCCGCGGTAAAAAATATCCCATATGATGACCCGGATAACCAGCTATCACCATACCAAATTTCATTAAAATTCCTCCAGTGGTTTTTCTCCGATGCGGTAACAGACAGACAGACAGACAAAAATTCTAAAAACTATAGATTCAGCCTCCGTATCGATAATAATGTCTATTTCAATAAGATTTTCCAAAAAATATTTAATGTACAGATTCGGCTCAGTTACAATTTTATTATATGTATAGATTTCTTAGTTATCTCTATAATGTGGTCGTACTCGTATCTTGTGTGCTATCATAGTGTACCTAGTTTAACTTATATTGATTACAGACTGATAAAAATTTTAAAATTAAAATCTTTGAAGAATTAATCAAATGAAAATAACTCAAAGACTTTCGAGTTTTATAGCCTTAGAGGATTTAAAATAAAAAATACATCTGTACAAAATATTTCACAATTTAAAGATTCAAATACTTATGTAACAAATATGTTTCCTGTAAATCATTCAAAACGTCTGAGACCAAAAAGTAAAGAAGTAGAAATAAAAAAAAATGTTTTGTTTAAAATGTCATATACACAATATATAAATCTAAGAAAATACTAGTGTGTACTACATTTTACCTAAATTAGCACGGCCATTTAAACATGAAGGAGTAACATACATACGTACAATCTTTCTCATATATAATATTAATCCGGTTGTCATTTAAAGATATGAGTATATGTGCGTGTCACACCATATCCTGATAATCGCTCTCTCTCGTCACTCGCACGCTCTGACGGCGCAAGTGCGCGTGTCGTGAGGGAGTGTTTTAATTTCAGAGGTGCAATTTATTCGAGCGATTTATTTTTAATCCCCGTTTTTATGGCCGCCACTCTATAAATTTATGTGTAGTTGTAGTTATTTTTATAAATTAAGCCCACAATGCTTGATGCGTTTAATGTTATATGAAAGTTTATTGGCATGCCCATTTGTCAGCGAATTAAAAGTATGATTTTTTTTTCACCTGTCAAAGTGTCAATATAATGTTTTAAAATATCTTAATTCTTTCGAATATTTCTTTGGTATGTTGTATATAGTTTTTGTTAACTTTGTTGGTAATCTAGATATACTTAGAGTTTATTACATACATACAACACATATATAACTTCACAAAAAATCTCAATTTTTTTTTGTGACAAACCATTAAATTAAATGTAAATATATAATATAATATATATATGCATATGTTAAAATATAGTTAAAAATGTATTCATACAATTCTAACAATTGTTATATTGTTATTAGTATTTGGATCTTCTTAGTTACAAAATTATTTGTTATTGAGTAACAAAAAGTTTTATGTATAAAAATATTCCATTATAACATTTAAACTTCACCTTTAATGAGGGAGACGACGCGATTAAATATAAAAAAGAAACTATTAAATGCATTAACATTAATCAAACACTTTACATATAATAAGTACATAAGGGTCGTCCCTGCAAACGACAGGGCACACCTGGTGTCACAGACAGACAACCCCCACTTAATGCCCTTCTTATTATTATTTTGTATCTGTTTTTGAATTTAATCTGTGGGGGAAGTTTAATTGTATAGACGCCATTTTGGATGTACCAAATCCCGTTTGAATTTCGATTTCGAAACGATTAGGGTTTAGCGCCTACAGCTTGTGGCCGTTACGAAATAGACAATACATAAAAAATATCCATTTACATAATTTATATAATCGAAATAATTTTATATTTCAATTTTATTCGTAAAATTATCGAAAACAATTTGAAATATTGTTCTCTAAGAACAAACAAATATCTATTGCACTAAAATGTTTTTACATCATATATGTATCTACTTGTTCTTCGTTAAATAAGTGCCAATGGTTTCAAATTAGTATCACATCTTTTGCTTCCTACAATTTTATTGACCTCAAAG